GCGCCATGGCCTCGGCCACCAGCACCAGGAAGATGAGGGAGGAGGCCACCTGCAGCATCTGCCTGAACCTCATGAGCAGCCCCATGAGCATCGCCTGCGGCCACAGCTACTGCCACTGCTGCATCGTCAACTTCATCAAGAGGTTTGGCCAATGGCAGCCCCTGCAGGGCTTGCCCTGTCCCCAGTGTCGGATCCCGTTCCACATGGACAGCCTCCGGCCCAACAAGCAGCTGGGCAACCTCATCGAGGCCATCCGGGAGCAGGAGCAGGAGCTGTCGTGCGAGGAGCATGGGGAGAAGCTGCACCTGTTCTGTGAGGACGAGGGCCAGCTCATCTGCTGGCGCTGTGAGCGCACAGCGCAACACCACGGGCACAGCACGGCACTCTTGGAGGACGTCTGCCAGGGCTACAAGGTGAGGGCCTCGGGCCGCCAGCGCCCCCTGCTTCCCCGACCCGGCTTAGCTAGCCCGAGAGCCCCGTGGTGTCCTGCAGCGCGGCCGCCTTCAGGCCCGTTGTCTGAACCCAGCTATGATGTCCCTCCTGCCCTCGGCAGGACAGTCAGCTCTTGCCTGACCATGTGTAGGGTCCTCTCCCTGCCCAGAGCGTGTCCTCGGAACACCCGCATGTTTTCTCCCTGTGCCGTGCGCAAGACCAGTGCTCCCAACCCCAGGCCACAGACGGGGACTGGGCCGCGGCCGTCAGGAGCCGGGCTACGCAGCAGGCAGTGATGGCAGGCAGGCAGGTGGCCTGTGTGTGTTTAGCTTTGCTGTAGAGCATGTGCCCTGGGCGAGAGGGAGCGGGAGGTGAGAACCGCCCCTGGGGGATGGCCATGCCCCAAGCCCACCTCCTCTCAGGATAGTGGACACACACATGTACCCCGCGTGTTTTCAAGCCTCCAGGTCCGGGACTGGAACCGCACACTCTGGCCTCCTTATCCTCCTTGCCACCTGTTGGCTCCACTTCATCTGGGTCTGCAGCCACTCTCTGTCACTCCCTTCACTGCCCGAGCTCCATCTTCTGTCGTATCAGACGTAGCATCATGCTCTCCTAGGAGCCCCGACATGGGACCTTCTAGTTGCAGGAAAACCAGCTCAGGACCTGCACTGGCTCTGCATAGCCATGCTCGGAATAATCTTTGCCTTATATAGTCTACCGTAATGATTTATTATATAGTCTACCTCAATCATTATATTATATAGTCTACCGTAATGGTTATATTATATAGCCTACCGTAATGATTATATTAGTCTACTGCAATGATTATATTATATAGTCTACTGTAATATTATATAGTCTACCGTAATGATTATATTATATAGTATACCACAATGATTATATTATATAGTCTACCGCAGTGATTCTATTATATAGTCTACTGTAATATTATATAGTCTACCGTAATGGTTATATTATATAGCCTACCGTAATGATTATATTAGTCTACTGCAATGATTATATTATATAGTCTACTGTAATATTATATAGTCTACCGTAATGATTATATTATATAGTCTACCGCAATGATTATATTATATAGTCTACTATAATGATTATATAGTCTATTGTAATGATTTATTATATAGTCTATCGCAATGATTATATTATATAGTATACCACAATGATTATATTATATAGTCTACCGCAGTGATTATATTATATAGTCTACTGCAGTGATTATATTATATAGTCTACCACAGTGATTCTATTATATAGTCTACTGTAATGATTCTATTATATAGTCTACTGCAGTGATTATATTATATAGTCTACTGCAGTGATTATATTATATAGTCTACTGCAGTGATTATATTATATAGTCTACTGCAGTGATTATATTATATAGTCTACTGCAGTGATTATATTATATAGTCTACTGCAGTGATTATATTATATAGTCTACTGCAGTGATTATATTATATAGTCTACTGCAGTGATTATATTATATAGTCTACTGCAGTGATTATATTATATAGTCTACTGCAGTGATTATATTATATAGTCTACTGCAGTGATTATATTATATAGTCTACTGCAGTGATTATATTATATAGTCTACTATAATGATTATATAGTCTATTGTAATGATTTATTATATAGTCTATCGCAATGATTATATCGTCTACTGTAATGATTCTATTATATAGTCTACCGCAATTATTTATTATATAGTCTACCACAATTATTTATTATATAGTCTACCGCAATGATTTATTATATAGTCTACCGTAATGATTCTATTATAAAGTTCACTGTGCTGATTATATCGTATAGTCCGCTGTGGCGGTCATATCATATAGTCAGATGTATGATATTTATGATATATCATATGGAAGACAGTGGTAGCACCTGCTTGGGTCCTGGGTCGGTAAACAAGCTTAGAGTAGCAGGTCCCCCCCATCCCCACCCCGCCATCCCTTACCTGCCAAGTCCCTAACTCCTTCTTAACCTTCCTTGCCCACAGCCCTGAAATGGTGTAAAAATGCAACCAACCACACACACGTGAGCTTCTGCGTGGAGAGCCGTCCGCGTGCTCCCGGCAGTTAGGACTCGGTAGCTGTCACTGTTACCCCAGCACAGCCGGTGTGCTGCAGTGGCCCATGAGTCCCTGATAAAGACCTGAGTTAAACAGTCTTTACCCACCTCATGTTCCCTCAGGAAAAGCTTCAGGAAGCAGCGACAAAATTGAGGCAACTGGATCAGGAGTGTGTGAATCTGAAGGTGTCCACGGCACAGCAGATAACCAGATGGAAGGTAAGGACTGCGCTCTCCGGCCTCAGCCTGCCACGGGCCTGCTCTGAGTGTTTGCCAAGGCTGGCTTCCCACCCAGGAAGGCCGAGGGCGGCCGCAGGAGCGCCTGTGCTGAGGCATGGAGGCGGGGCTGCACACTGCCTCAGCACAGGCCGGGGCCTGGGTTACTTATGCTCACAAGGCTGGTGACGAAGGAGCCTTGTGCCAGCTGCGAGGACCCAGGCTCGGCAGCTGCAGCTGGGGGTCCCCATTATGAGAGTTACAACTCTGCAGAAATGGGGTCCCTCAGCCTCTGGTCAAATCGGCCAGCGAGCCGTTTTCGGATCTTCTGTGTGTGAGCTGAGCTTGAGCCCCCGGGGGACACTTGTCCTAATTTCTGGCCCCTGGGACAGTGAAAACACCGTGGTTGTCACTAACGGATGTGGCATGCCATCAGAGTGAGAGGTGAACCTGCACCTGTCTCCCACACGACATCTGCACTTCACGCTGGGCAACCACCCTCCGCCACGGCGTCACCGTCCTCGAACCCTGTGTGATGGTGACCCTGACTCCTGCCAGCCTGGTGGCCGTAAGTCCCACATGGCCAGCTGCAGGGCTGGAGTCCTGGGCCTGGTGGCTTGAGAGACATCGGGTGTGTGTGTCCACAATTCCACAGAGAGATGGAGGAGAAGGGGTGGCAGAGTGACCGTCACCTGTGGGGAGCCTCTCCCTACTTCTTTCTGTTTCTGGTGAGCACGTGTGCCCTCTGGCAGATAAAACAAATCAGTCTTAGATGACATTCATTACAAGTTTTTGCTTCAAAAAATTCTCGTAGCGTCAGAGACGCCGTCTTACGCCCCAAATAAAAGCTCGTGTCAGTCCTCGTAGCCAATGAGGCGTTCAGACTCGGCCTTCGTCCCAGAGGATCTAGCACCCTGGCCCCGCCTTTCCCGGACTTTGGCCAAGAGGAAGGATGACAAAGAGGTGACTGTAGGTGTGTGTATTCTCCAGTGGGACAGAGACAGAGACAGAATGTGAGAAATCAGAGAATCGGAAACAGCCTCGCCCACGTCTGTGGCCCACGTCCCAGGCATGACGGCGGCGGGAACCTGGGACGTTCTTGCAGCTTGTGAAGCTCACAGGAAGAAGGTTCGGAATGGCTGACCTAACTTTCTTTCTTTTCCTTTTTTTTCTTTTTTGTAAAAACAAAACGTATCACCATAACCGTTCTTAAGCGTCCAGTTTGGTGATTTGGTGGCGGGAAGAGCTTTCACATTGTCGTCACAGTCACCACCCTCTTTATCTCCAGAATCGTTTTGTCCTCCGTGCTGAGCACTGCCCACCCTTTCTCCCTCCCAACACGGGTCCTGATTCTCTCTGTGTCTACAGACTGAACAGTCTGGATACCTCGTACAGTGAGACCTGACAGCACGGGGCGTTGTGTTTCTGGCTTGTGTCACATAACAGGATGTCTTCACGGTTCACCCAGGTTGGAGGTGTATCAGGCATTCGCTCCTTTTCGGGGCTGACTAATATTTCACAGCAAGTGTCTGCCACATTTGTTCGCCCGGTCGGGCGTCTGCTTGGTCCCACTCTAACCGTACTCTCCTCCCTGTAGGAGAAGGTGCAGATTCAGAGACAGAAGATCCAGTCTGACTTCAAGAACCTCCAGAGCTTCCTCCGTGAGGAAGAGAAGTCCCATCTCTGGAGGCTGGAGAAGGAGGAGGAGGACGCCCTGCGGGTGCTGAGGGACAGGGAGGCCAGTCTGGGGCAGAAGAGCCAGGAGCTCCAGAGCCACATCCAGGACCTCGAGAGAAAATGTCAGGGCTCAGCCCAGAACCTGCTGCAGGTGAGGCTGCACGCTGGGGCCAGCAGGACCATCCCCACGGGCTGCCCGGGGTGTGAACTGCTCCTCACACCAGCACAGCCTCCACTGTCAGCGAGTCACCTTTCCGTGCTTAGGAAGACATGCCTCTGAGGGACCAGCAGTCACACCATGGGACTCCCATGTAGTCGACCGCACTTTGAGTCCCAGACCCGGTGGCTTAAGACATGCAGGCATGTGTGTGTGCATGCCCCAAATCCCGAGAGGAGATGGAGGAGGAGGTGTGGGTATCCCACTGGGGGGTGATTCCTCACTTTCTGTCTCATTGGTGAGCGTGTGTGCCCTATAGCAAAAAAAAAAAAAACACAAAACTTAAAAACAAAATGAAAGCAAGCCAGCAAGCCAGCCTCTGCCAGTGAGCAGGAGGGCCTGCTGGGCTGTGGGAGGACACACACCCCATTTGGCCCTTGGCCAGGTGGCCCTGCAACCCTCCTGCATGACTGGCAGGTGGGGAGCTGGGCAGGCAAACCAGGGCTCACACCCCTACTCCAGGGAGCCCCCATCCTGTGCCAGGGAGGGCTGCAGCTGCAGGGAAGCCGGTTGGGAATAGACGGGGCTGGCAATTCCTGCTCCAGTCTGTGCAGACCGAGTGGCCACGACCGTCCCCAGCACGTGTGCCTGCTGACAGCCTGTTAGGGACCCAAGTCTCAGGCTGTGTGTCCCCCACCATGGAGGACCTCCGACGTGAGCTCCCCTGAAGGACATGAGACCCTGCCAGCGAGGTTGGCCAAGGCATGAGCGTCAGCTCCGGGCCTCGTCCCTGTAGCCCAGGCTCCGCAGGGGGAGACAGGCGTCCCCCATGCCCAGTCCTGGGAGCCCACGGTGCCGGTCAGTGCCGAGGTCAGGCTGCGCCCTCTCCGGGCACTCGGAGCACAGCCCACTCCCGGTGCGGCCCACTCACGCCAATCTCCTTCTCCACAGGACGTGAAAGGTACCCTGAACAGGTAAGGTCCGGGCATGGGGAGGGCAGAGCCACGTGGGGCCGCGCAGTGTCCTGGATGGTGGCCTTGCTCTTCCAGGAGTCTGGCCGTGCGCCTGGAGACGCCAGATCCCCTGTCCCTGGAGCTGCACAGCGCCTGCGAAGTTTCCGAGCTCTACCTGGACGTGAGGAAGCTGCTGAAGCAGTTTCGAGGTGTGCCCGGGGTCCTGAGTGTGGGTGGGCGGCAGGTCAGGGTGCCCGCTCAGAGCAGGGGGCATGGGGCAACCCTCGCCCTGGTCAGTATCCCCAACCCCGAGACAGGCTGGCTTATGACGGACCCTCCTGACCCCTGCCCCGCTTAGCACTGCCACTCCAGGCAGCTCCGTGTCACTCCGGTCCCATCTGAGCAGGGAACCGCCCCCGGTTCTCGGGACAGTGGAGCACAGCAGCCATGGACGGTGCTATCTGCTGGGCGGCCCGGAGGTGGGACTGGCCCGGGGTAGTGTTCTCGCTCCCTTTCGCTCAGCTCCCAGGACCAGGTGGGGCGGCGGTGGGTCCTGTGGACCCTGGTTCAGACGACTTCAGGGGCCCGGCTCAGACAACCCCAGAGTTGACTGTCAGGCCTGGGTGGAGACCGGCTCCGGATCCCCGGGCAGAGCCCCTGCTCTGACGCCTGCCCTCAGAGCTTCTGCAGCTCTGCGATCCCCCATCCACCGCGGCGAAGTGTGGAGGGCCTGGGACGTCGTCTAACCCAGTTCGTTGCTGTGGAACCAGCTAAGCGAGCCATGCAGGGGTCTGCTCGCTGTCCCTGCAGAACGCCCTGAACTTTGCAGCTCATGGGCGTGGGAGTGGGTCTGCGCTGGCTGGGGCTGCTCCGAGGCGCTGGAGCTGGGCTGGGGACTGACTTCCGGCTTCTGGGTGGCTGGCAGAGTCCACTCCTGTGCGCGCAGGCCTGGGCCGTGCCCCAGGAAGGCTTCTTTCTGTCCCGTCATGGAGGAGGGGGCTTCCGACAGGGCACAGACATTTCACTCCCAGTTGGTCCTGGGCTGCGGCTGCTCTGAACACTCGGACAGCGAAGGTGAGGCTGAGGCGATGCCATTGCTGATACGTGCCATGGTCACACCAAGCCTAGGCCAGGCCGACCTGAGCTGGTGCAGCTCCCTCTGCCGCCTGCACAGATTCGGGTGTGCCCTGCCGGTTCACAGAACTGGGGCCCGGAGGGTGCAGCGCTCCCCTCAGTCGTGCGGGCAGTAAGAAGCGGCACTTGCATTTGGACGCAGGCCAGTTAATCGTGCCCTCAGAGCCAAGAAGGCATGGCTTTTCTTGTTCTCTTTTGGCAGCTGATGTGACTCTGGACCCGGAGACGGCGCACCGTGAACTAATTCTGTCCGAGGACCATAGACAGGTGACGCGTGGGTACCCCCAGGAGAACCTGCCCGCTTTGGCGAGGAGGTTCACCGCCTCGCCCTGTGTCCTGGGCTGCGACGGCTTCGTCTCCGGAAAACATTACTTTGAAGTGGATGTGGGGGAGGGCACCGGGTGGGACGTGGGGGTCTGTGCGGAAACGGTGCCGAGGGACGCCGGCATGAAGCTGGAGCCCCAGTGCGGCTTCTGGGCCATCAGGCTGTGCAAAAAGAAGAGCTACACGGCCCTC